GACGGGCCAGTGGACGAGAGCAGCAGAGGGATTACGGCCAGCGCACTCGACATGGTCTCGGTCAGGCCTGAAGATAGCACCAATTCGTCACTAAGGCCTCTACTTTCGGGCCAGCCGGATGGGCCTCACAAAGCCGTGACTTGGGACAGAGACCTCGAGACTCTGATGCCTCTGGAGTTCCGGTTCGACCGCACCCTCAGGCAACTGATAGAAGAGGATGGACGGATAGCCTGTCTGACTGCCAGCGATGCTGATGAGGCGGACACATTGAATTCTAAGGTAGCTCAAGCGATATTCAATGGGCTTTTGCACGAAAATTTGCACATCTTTGCAGCACAAATTGCCACTAATTCGACCCATTCCTTGGTTTGTTTGCATCTGTTGGCATGATACTATTTATGTCTGATTAGTTGAAGAGAAGACCTAATTTTGTATTGAAATTCATTAGTTTATGATGCTGCAAGTTTGACTTTATCGCAATCCCATTATCACCCTGTGGCGGAATTTAGTCTCTCCATATGCTGCTTGACGGTTGATCTTTAAAAATTTTTTTTCCATTAACCCCGATAGGTCATTGAAATGAATTAAGCACTCATTCGAACCAGACGCATCTCTAGCATCTGACGAATCAAGCCTAGAATCGAGAATGTCTGAACGAATCGTATTACTGTGTAACTGAGTGTAACTGAGTTTCATTGAATCTTTCATATTGTGTAAGAACGTCTGATAAAAAGATTTTGATTCATGCTGGCCTGCATTCGTTTGATATCACTGTTACTTTCATATCGACGCAGTTCACGATAAAGTCTCCTTTGCTGGCTGTGAAAACAGATGAATTTACCTCTGTCATATGTCAAACATTTTGTCATACTTACCAAAACGTTAAGCTTAAACCCAGCCAGGAAGACTAACTGGTTTCTCCTTTCTTGCTATATGAACTCATAATAACAACGAAAATAAATGAATATAAAATGACTTGCTTCGCTCATTTGCGTGTGAATAAGACCTGACATTTCTAAGTGTTTGCGGTTAGGAGTGTGAGTATGTTTATCCTGGTCCTAAGTCACCAGTCTCAACTGTATGACTGCGGTTGCAGAAGCTCGAACATACGTTCGGTTGAGTTAAGGGGCATGCTAGAAAAACATAACGAAAGCCTCACAATCTCGCCTTTTTAATGCAGATTGACCAACAACTTCACTCTCATTCTCTCTCAGCCACTCACTATTTTAATTTGTATAGCCTCATTTATTTTGTGCTTAGAAGTAGACACACCACAACTAGCAAACTGATGCATTTGAGACCAATAGATTTCGTGTTTTTGTTTTTCCTTATGCTCAGACACTTTCAAACGTTTAAACAAAAAGACTGCAAACATTTTGTTGTTCCCCTAACCTTTAGCTAATAGGGCATCAAGTATCAATAGCCAAATGGTGACAGCCTAAGCACACAATTGCATGGCATCAAGATCAGTCGCTTTCACACTAACTAAAATCCACTTTATATCATGAATGCCAATTATTTCCTCTTTATTTTCATTGTTCCATCTAAGTTCAAATTAGCTGATATATTAAACTCTGAGACCAGTACTTCCAAATATATGCGGGCTATCTCCTTGTGAGCCCATATGAATAGGATGCCTTCAATAAATAATGTTGTTCACCTCTTGGAACAGCAATTTCGGAGCAAATTTTTCGGGCCAAATGTGATATGTACTCATTTCAGAATCGCAACAATATCTAATCTATAGATGGAGTGGACCTCCTTTTCATGCACAAGGCTTTAGCGATTGGGCAGGCTTGTGAACTGGTATGGATTAACATTTACTGCATTTTCCATCCAATATGTATTCAAGCGGTAAAGTTGATAACTTGAATGGTCGAAAAGTAGCATTGCTCCTGGCTACGGTTAGCAATAAATCATATTCGTGCGAAAGTGTAGAATGGAAATTTTGTATTACTGTAGTATGAACAAATAAACTGGTATCGATATTCAAGACCTAGTTCTTATAGCTTAAATTATACTATTCAAATAGATTATGAGTAAGTAAACCTAAGGTCTGAGTTAATCACTGTGAAAAAAAAGAGTTGGATCTTGCATCTTAATGGGTGGGTAATAAAAGCAAATCTCAGGTTTGGTAAATTTTCAATAAAGAATTTTTATGACTTTATTAAGTTAATAAACATACAAATAATAGAAAAGGGATATTTGTTTGTAGGCTTTGATGAAGAATCGATGTATACAAATATACAGCTAAGTGGGTACATTAATGCTTTATGAGTTGCGTTATACCAACTCCCAAAGATTATATCGGTACATAGGATAAGCAAGGAGTCATTAATGAGATTTACAAACCTAATAAGGAATAC